CACCACATTCATCCTGTGTCAGAAACCTATGCTGTGTCAAATATTTAATGACAATCCAAAGTCATAGCTGTATCAAGCTTGAATTTTGTGTCCATACTTGCCCCAACTGTTCAGGGTTCGACCTCTGCGGTCGTATCAAGCTGCGCCCCAGCGAAGCATTTTATTATCAATTATGAATATTAATATGAATAAATGAGATAATTTTTCTAACTGTGCTGAGAAGCAATTAAAGAAATGAGTTTTTAAAGCTATGCCACCATTTTTTCTTTAATTAAGATATAAGTGTTTTCTTTGAGTTATTGATTACTTTTGTCCAACTATCAGAAAGAATTTTCAGATTTCATGTTCTGTATGTGTTAACATATGGCTGCCTTCAAGATAATTGACAGTTGTAGTCAAAGTTATTGACAAAGCTACAGATATACAGAATGAAGAGAAGACTCTAGAGAACTTGTTCTAGCTATATCTATATACAGTCTCAATAAAGAAACTTCAAAAAGAAATTTTAAGAAGATTATATAAATTTTACTGATTTTTTTAAAACTTCAATATCAAAAAAGATAATAGAAATAAATAAAATTTTTGAGAATATTGTCAGTGACTGAGTATTTGAGTACATTTATCTTGAGTAGATATGGCTATATCAGTGACTGTCAATAGTATCTCAGAGTACTTTAGTACATGTATCGTCAGTAGAATGGGCTATATCAGTGACTGTCAGAGTATATCAATACATTTATCATTAGTAGACACAGTTATATCAATAACTGTCAGAGTATCTCAGTACATGTATCTTCAGTAGACAGGGTTATATCAGTGACTGTCAATAGTATCTCAGAGTATCTCAGTACATGTATCTTCAGTAGACAGGGCTATATCAGTGACTGTCAATAGTATATCAGAATACTTTAGTACATGTATCCTCAGTAGACAGGGCTATATCAGTGACTGTCAGAGTATCTCAATACATTTATCATCAGTAGACACAGTTATATCAGTAACTGTCAGAGTATCTCAGTACATGTATCTTTAGTAGAAAGGGTTATATCAGTGATGACTGTCAGAGTATCTCAATACATACATGTATCCTCAGTAGACAGGGCTATATCAGTGACTGTCAGAGTATCTCAATACATTTATCATCAGTAGACACAGTTATATCAGTAACTGTCAGAGTATCTCATTACATGTATCTTCAGTAGAAAGGGTTATATCAGTGACTGTCAATAGTATCTCAGTACATGTATCTTGAGTAGAAAGGGTTATATCAGTGACTGTCAGAGTATCTCAGTACATGTATCTTCAGAAGAAAAGGCTATATCATAGACTGTCAATAATATCTCAGTTCATGTATCTTCAGTAGAAATTGCTATATCAGTGACTGTCAGAGTATATCTCAGTACATGTATCTTCAGTAGACATAGCTATAGCAGTGACTGTCAGAGTATCTCAGTACATGTATCTTCAGTAGACATGGCTATATCAGTGACTGGCAGAGTATCTTAGTATTTGTATCTTCAGTAGACATGGCTTTATCAGTGATTGTCAGAGTATCTCAGTACATGTAACTTCAGAAGAAAGGGTTATTTCAGTGACTGTCAGAGTATCTCAGTACATGTATCTTCAGTAATCAGTAGACATGGCTATATCAGTGACTGTCAGAGTATCTCATTACATGTATCTTCAGTAGACAGGGTTATATCAGTGACTGTCAGAGTATCTCAGTACATGTATCTTCAGTAATCAGTAGACATGGCTATATCAGTGACTGTCAGAGTATCTCAGTACATGTATCTTCAGTAGACAGGGTTATATCAGTGACTGTCAAAAGTATCTCAGTACATGTATGGTCACTCACAGTCAGTAGACAGGGTTATATCAGTGACTGTCAATAATATCTCAGTACATGTAACTTCAATCACTGACTGCCAAGAGTATCTCAATACATGTATCTTTAGTAGACACAGTTATATCAGTGACTGTCAGAGTATCTCAGTTCATGTATCTTCAGTAGAAAGGGTTATATCAGTGATTGTCAGAGTATCTCAGTACATGTATCTCCAGTAGAAAGGGTTATATCAGTGACTGCCAATAGGATCTCAGTACATGTATCTTGAGTAGAAAGGGTTATATCAGTGACTGTCAGAGTACTAGTATCTCAGTACATGTATCTTGAGTAGAAAGTTTATATCAGTGACTGTCAGAGTATCTCAGTACCTGTATTTTCAGAAGAAAGGGTTATATCAGTGACTGTCAGAGTATTTCAGTACATGTAACTTCAGTAGACATGGCTATATCAGTGACTGTCAGAGTATCTCAGTACATGTATCTTCAGTCTTCAGTTGACATGGCTATATCAGTGACTGTCAGAGTATCTCAGTACATGTGTCTTCAGTAGACATGGCTATATCAGTAACTGTCAGAGTATCTCAGTACATGTATCTTCAGTAGACATGGCTATATCAGTGACTGTCAGAGTTTCTCAGTACATGTATCTTCAGTAGACATGGCTATATCAGTGACTGTCAGAGTATCTCAGTACATGTATCTTCAGTAGACATGGCTTTATCAGTGATTGTCAGAGTGTCTCAGTACATGTATCTTCAGTAATCAGTAGACATGGCTATATCAGTGACTGTCAGAGTATCTCAGTACATGTATCTTCAGTAGACATGGATATACCAGTAACTGTCAGAGTATCCCAGTACATGTATCTTCATTAATCAGTAGACATGGCTATATCAGTGACTGTCAGAGTATCTCAGTATATGTATCTTCGTTAGACATGGATATACCAGTAACTATCAGAGTATCTCAGTACATGTATCTTCAGTAGACAGGGTTATATCAGTGACTGTCTAAAGTATCTCAGTACATGTATGGTCACTCAAATGTCAGTAGACAGGGTTATATCAGTGACTGTTAATAATATCTCAGTACATGTAACTTCAATCACTGACTGTCAAGAGTATCTCAATACATGTATCTTCAGTAGACACAGTTATATCAGTGACTGTCAGAGTATCTCAGTTCATGTATCTTCAGTAAAAAGGGTTATATCAGTGACTGTCAGAGTATCTCAGTACATGTATCTTCAGAAGAAAGGGCTATATCAGTGACTGCCAAGAGTATCTCAGTACATGTATCTTCAGAAGAAAGGGCTATATCAGTGACTGCAAGAGTATCTCAGTACATGTATCTTCAGTAGACATGGCTATATCAGTGACTTTCATAGTATCTCAGTACATGTATCTTGAGTAGAAAGGGTTATATCAGTGACTGTCAAGAATATCCCAGTACATGAATCTTCAGTAGACAGTGTTATATCAGTGAATGTCAGAGTATTTCAGTACATGTATCTACGAATTCAGTAGACAGGGTTATATCAGTGACTACAACAGTATCTCAGTACATGTATCGTCACTCACAGGGCTATATCAGTGACTGTCAAGAGTATCTCAGTACATGTATCTACAGTAGACAGGGTGATATTAGTGACTGTCAGAGTATCTCAATGCATGTATCTTCAGTAGAAACTTTGAAAGGTAATATATTTGACAGTCAGAATATCTCAGCACATGTATCATCAGTAGAAAGGGTTATATATCTGTGACTTCCAAAGTATCTCAGCACATGTATGGTGAGAAGACTGAGACATATCTTCATTAGACCTTTTTATTAGTGACTGCTGCATGGAAGATATTTGCACAAACATCTTCAGTACATAGGTCAGCTGATTTGACCTCATGCTGTCACATGACATGAGTTTTAGAAGGGGATATAACTTTGTATCAGTGATTCTCTATTTGCAATAAGAATTAAATGAATCAGTCATCTTTAAATCTTAAATGAAATTTTGGAAAAAAGAAAAAATGTGGACTAATAGATCTATCTAGAAGATTAGCATGTATACAATTACAATACTAAAAACATCAGACTCTTGCAGTAATTTATCATGCTCTGTACAAAAACCAATTTCGTGAGAAAATAGATTTGTGTTTACTTATTTGTGGTAACCTTGTCTAGACTAATTAACATCAGGGTAATTGAATTAATGACTCTTGGGTTCTTAATGATCATATTGTCTTCTGGAATAATGTGATCAATGAGGCATCACAAACCTTGTAGAGTGGTGTTGCTATTTATAACAGAAATGGTTCTTCTCTTTAATCTTGGTTTATATAAATCTCACATTACTACATGCTTTTACACTGCATCTTTTTCCATCTGCAAACACTTTATTTCTTTTTAATAAAGGTTGTTATTTTAACACCAAAGAATACACCATAAATCAAGAGTTTACATTAATTTATTTTTAATTGGAAACTATAAACATGATAAAAGGGCCCATCCAAAGGTCAGTTATTTTCTAAAATTTGTACATTTAAACAATACATTATATAGTATAGGTTTTGTTCATTATTGAAGGATGTACATTGCTGTATAGTTTACACCCTTGTCCTCATATCTCTTGTGGATAGTTGTCTCATTGGCAATCTTATTACATCTCATTATTTTTATACTGTGCTACATGGTATATTTATGTTGATAAACAGAAATGTGGAGGCTATATGTCAATAAGACATCAATCTATAAACAAAGGCAAATATATCTAGGGGTCAACATAATGGTCATCAATATTAACAAAGGCAAATATATCTAGGGGTCAACATATGGTCATCAATATAAACAAGTATCAATACCATACAACAGGCTTTGAATGGCACTGTACAAGGTCTGCAATTAGCACTAAAAACCAATGCATGCAGATCAACCAACCAAGTTGGAAACCTGACAACTGAAATAGTATATGAAGATTTGTAAAATAGTAGTAGACACATACATTGACCTAAGTTTTTACTTACTATTCCTGTGTTTACCAATGAACAGATAGGTTGTCATTTAATGCAGCTTGAAAACATTGAAAAAGTAATTGAAGAAAAATTTTAATAATTGAAATGCTTGCCTTAAGGAAATAATATGATTCATTTATCTTACAGACAATGGTCCCTTGTCATTCAGACTCTGTAGATTGGTTGTAATTACTGAAAGAGATACCAGGTGACAGATTCAGCCTGCTTAGAGTTTCAGGTTCATGAATTTACAAACACAAATGTGCAGGACCAAATCTGAAAGATTTCAATATTTTCAAGTAATGTATATTATTATTTAAAAAAAGCATTAGTTAAAAAAGTTTATAGTTAAAAATTCATTTAATATTTTATATTTTCATTTTCATACATTTTGTGACTTCTAGCAGTAAACCAGATTATCTTGATTTTAAAATATTTTGTAACAAAAAATCATGTTCTATAACTTTTCGCCACGCCTGCGACGAAAGTTGCGGAATTCCGTCGCAGAATTCAAGACATAGGTATTGCAGGTATGGCGGCTGCAGCGGCATAAACTGTTTGTATTAAGCTTTATATATCAGATGTAAGAAGACCTGGATGTTTCATACCCTGCATACATATAACTTATGTTACAAAGTTTCCATTTGTCATATGTCCATTGTCCTAGAACTCATTTTCATGTTTCAGTGACTCCTTTAAAAAAATTACAGATTTTTTGTCATGTGAATTACTTCCTTATTATGTGTATTAGGATAAGTATATTTGGTATATGGGTTCCTTGCAATGTCTACATGTCCGTCAGACAGGGTTCACCTGACCTTTACCTTATTTCATGGATCAGTGATCAAGGTTAAGTTTACATGGTCAAGTCCGTATCCCAGATACTATAAGCAATAGGTCATCTATATTTGGTGTGTGGAATGATTGTAAGGTGTACATGTCCAACTGGCAGGTTTCATCTTACTTGACCTTATTTTCATGGTTTATTGGACAATGTTTAGTTTTTATGGTTTGGTCTATTTCTCAGATACTTTAAGAATTAGGACCACTATATGTTGTATATGGATTTGTTGTAAGGTGTACATGTCTGTCTGGCAGGTTTCATATGACCTTGACCACATTTTCATGGTTCATTGGTCAGTGTTAAGTTTTTGTGTTTAGGACTGTTTTCCAGGTATTATTAGTGATAGGACCACTATACTGTAAATTCAGAAATTATTGCGAGGTTTATTTCATGTGAAGATCTATCATGTCTATACTCTAGAGGATGTGGTCTATACTCTACAGGATGTGGTCTATACTATAGAGGATGTGGTCTATACTCTATAAAGGATGTGGTCATGTGAAGATCTATCATGTCTATACTCTAGAGGATGTGGTCATGTGAAGATCTATCATGTCTATACTCTAGAGGATGTGGTCTTTACTCTAGAGGATGTGGGCATGTGAAGATCTATCATGTCTATACTCTAGAGGATGTGGTCATGTGAAGATCTATCATGTCTATACTCTAGAGGATGTGGTCATGTGAAGATCTTTCATGCCTATACTCTAGAGGATGTGGTCATGTGAAGAATAATTTTATTGGAACCTGGAGACTTGGTATTGTCACTGATCATAAATATACTTAGCATTGTTAATTAGATATATCTAGATTTTATGAATGCTGAAAAAATGGAGAAATATTTGGCTGACATGTATATATATATATATGTATACTTGTGTGCAGAAGTTTACTTTTTATGGTTATAAACTTACTGGAATTCTGACAATTCAAGTATTTTCTGTATAATAGAAAAAGTTCAGGTGTTTTTTCTTACAATAACAAGTGAAGGCTTTAAAAAATTCAACATATGACACCTGAAGTATTGTGTATTAAGTTTGTGTGATGTAACATGAACCATATTTGATTTGAAAGTATCATTGGATTGCAGTGAAACTGAGGTAAAAACAATTATACTATTTAAGAAAGTAAATAAAAATAGATGGTAATTTCATATTCAAGATATACAAGGGATTACTTTCTTAAAATGCCTACACAATCATTAAGAGGATGCTGCAGAACTATGATGATACACCTCTCTACATGTCTTCAAGTTTACCATAGATATCAGGTGCTACAGAATGGCGATGACACATCTCTCTACATGTCTTCACATTTCACCATGGATATCATGTGCCCCAGAATGGTGATGACACACCTCTCTACATGTCTTTACATTTCACCTTAGATATCAGGTGCCCCAGAATGGTGATAATACACTTCTCTACATGTCTTTACATTTCACCGTAGATATCAGGTGCCCTAGAATGGTGATGACACAACTCTCTACATGTCTTTACATTTCACCATATATATCATGTGCCCCAGAATGGTGATGATACACCTCTCTACATGTCTTTACATTTCACCATATATATCATGTGCCCCAGAATGGTGATGACACAACTCTCTACATGTCTTTACATTTCACCATAGACATCATGTGCCCCAGAATGGTGATGATACAACTCTCTACATGTCTTTACATTTCACCATAGATATCATGTGCCCTAGAATGGTGATGATACACTTCTCTACATGTCTTTACATTTCACCATAGATATCAGGTGCCCCAGAATGGTGATGAAACCCCTCTCTACATGTCTTTACATTTCACTATAAATATCATGTGCCCCAGAATGTTAATAGTACAACTCTCAACATGTCTTTACATTTCACCATAGACATCATGTGCCCCAGAATGGTGATGATACAACTCTCTACATGTCTTAACATTTCACCATAGATATCAGGTGCCCCAGAATGGGGATGACACACTTCCCTTCATTGTTTTGTCAATAAAAATGAAGCAAAAGTGGGACGAAGGGGGTAAAATTTCAACATTGTTTAATTCAAATAAATTATGGTCCCCCAAATTACAGTATAAATCCCCTGCTAATCTAACCTGCCAAAATTCAGTGAAATGTCACACTCCTGACATGAATACTTTTAATTAGAATAAGTAAAGAGTAATAATTTTTTTTCCCTTAAATTTCATGTTTGGTCTGATGAAATACTGGTATTTTTAGTAAAAAAATATTTTTCCTTTTTCTGTCTTCCAGAATGACCAAGGTGAGTGTGGCATTAAATGTCAGGAGTGTGACAACTCTGTTAAAATCAGAAAGTATCTTGTAGACAGCAGAGTGCTATTAAATGTCCATTTTTTTTGTTGAGCCTGCGACAAAAGTCGCAGAAAGCTCGACATAGGGATAGTGATCCCGCGGCGGTGGCGTTAGCTAACTTCTTAAAAGCTTTATATTTTTATTTTAGAAGCGAGAAGACCTGAATGCTTCATACTTTGTATATAGATGCCTTATGTTACGAAGTTTCCGTCTGTCATATGTCCATTGTCCTTGACCTCATTTTCATGGTTCAGTGACTACTTGAAAAAAAGTCATCATTTTTTGTAATGTTAATTTCTTTCTTATTATGAGTAATAGGATAACTATATTTAGTATGTGTGTACCTTGCAAGGTCTTCATGTCCGTCAGACAATTTTCATTTAACCTCGACCTCATTTCATGGATCAGTGAACAAGGTTAAGTTTTCGTGGTCAAGTCCATTTATCAGATACTATAAGCAGTAGGTCTTCTATATTTGGTATATGGAATGATTGTAAGGTGTACATGTCCAACTGGTAAGTGTCATCTGACCTTGACCTCATTTTCATGGTTCAGTGGTCAAAGTTAAGTTTTTGAGTTTTGGTCTTTTTTTCTAATACTACATGCAATAGGTCAACTATATTTGGTGTTTGGAAATATTTTATGAGGTTCATGTCAGTCTCGCAGGTTTTATTTGACCTTGACCTCATTTTCACGGTTCATTTCTCAGTGTTAAGTTTTTATGTTTTGGTCTGTTTTTCTTCAACTATAAGCAATAGATCAACTGTATTTGTTGTATGGAAGGATTGTAAGGTGTATATGTCTGTCTGGCAGGTATCATCTGACCTTGACCTCATTTTCATGGTTCATTGGTCAATGTTAAGTTTTCTTGGTTAAGACTGTTTCTTAGATACTATAAGCAATAGGTCAACTATGTTTGGTTTATCTGACCTTGACCTCATTTTCTTGGATCATGTTAAGTTTATGTGTTTCTTGTAGTAAAGCTTTATATTTAGGACTATCAACATAAAATCAATGGTTAGTAAAGAATGCGAGACATTTCAGCGTGTGCACTCTTGTTTAAGCACAAAATAGCTACACAGATAAATCTTTCATGTAAGGAGTGGGACACTTTTTAAGTACTTTGTTGAAAAATGCTATAATTCCTAATTCATGTGTAACTGCATCATAAAATTATTATGTGAATGATTGCAGATATCGAAAATATAAATTGCATTTGAATTATTATACATTTGATCTTTTTGAATTGTTAAAATTAATTTGTCTAACTGTAAACTTATATTTAATATATGTGTTAAGCAAAACAAAAGACACATATAATCATAGCCTATGCTTAAAATGATAAGACAATATTACTACGCAGATATATCAACTATTACTGCATTTTGATCTGAAACTTAAACATGCTTCTATCTTAGCATGGGTAGACATATGAAAATAATGTGATTGTCACACTCCTGACACTGATATGAAAAGGAAACTTAAAAATCCAACTTTTCTCTATTGTTAACAAATTTCACTTTTTTTTCATAAATTATTATACCACTTCATATTTGAAGATTATTTCCACACAAACTATCATATTATGACATTAGCCTGCAATGTCAATAATAAATACATAGTCATGCGATTGAAAATGATTACATTTAACTTGAGAGAAGTAAGAAAATACATACCAGGATGGTTTTCTTTAGCCTGGTATTATCATAAAGCCTATTCAGGGTCAACATGTAGTTTGACCTACAAGATAGACCATTTATCATCATTCCTATGCATTCTTTACCAATGCATGCCAGGAGTGTGACAATTGCACATGCTATTTTAATAAAAAACTGTAATTATGCAGACTTTAACAAAATAATAAAGACATGGTAAAATATTATTATGGAGCACTACCCTAACTAACAGTTAAATACTCTGATGTTGATTATCTAGCTAGACATTCAACTTTTGAGAGCAGTTTTTAAATTTATACCACTAAAATGCCCCAAAATTCTAATTAAGACAATTTATAGTTATACATTTTATATGCGAATAAAGTAAAATCCATATGCAAATATGTTTAATACAAAAGATAACTAATGAACCAATATGTACTTTAACATTATATGATGTTAAAAGGTGTCTTTAAAACACTGTCACACTCCTGACATTAATAATTTTAACTTTCTGTTAAAATTTATTTTACATCCCACTCATTTATGTATGTATAAAATTCAAATTAAAAAAATCGCACCTACTTTATCTCAAAAAGATTTGACAGTGTAGTGTACTACTTTTGGGACAAATAATATCAAAATTATAGAAAAGTCTACCAGCTCTAACTCAAAATGTGGACAATTCTATGTTAAGGGGGTCTATAATTCAGTTTGACAGCTTCTAACCAACTAATTTTTTACCTTTTTTACTTGGACCAAATCACTACTTTACATAAAAATTCATCACCCAAATTTTTTTAACATGTAATTTCATCCCCCTTCTTAATATTTTTTGCATAAAATGTAAAGAAATAAATTTTGAAAGTGTATGAGAAAATATTGCAAGTTATACACTGTCCACACTAGGGACTATATTTGTTAAACAGAAATACATCTAACAAAAACACAGAGTGGACGTGAAGGGTACTTGTACATCCCAAAAACGAAAAGACACTATAAGAACAGATCTGAGAGTACTCGCAGTTACTGACAGCTAGTTCAAAGCCAATAACAACTAATGAAAAAAATCATGTATCTAAGACTGAAATATCAATCAGTACACATCCAACATCCAATGGATTTAGTGTAAAGACGTCATTAACAGTCAGAGAAAAACATGACCTTGTGCAATGCCAAACTATAAGTATTGACAGATTGTAGTACCATGAAAGTACATATGTGTAATATTTAGTATGGTCTTTATTTCTTTTTATTGTCCCCCGCACAATGCACCCGTCCGTCAGTCTGTGCGTCTGTGCATCTGGTCTCACATGTACAATTCTTACCAGATTTTTATAAAACTTATATCATAGGTTTATATCAGTAATGTCTCTGACGAGTTCGAAAATTAGAGTCCATCAATAATTTTTTAAAGAGTTATGCCCTTGGAAACATTAATTATATGGAAAATTGCATCGTTAGCGCTCTCATGTGTACAATTCTTGCCAGATTTTTATAAAACTTATACTGTTGGTTTATATCAGTAATGTCTCAGACAAGTTCAAAAAATCAGTGCTGATCAATAATTTTTAAAAGAGTTATGGCCCTTAGAAATATTAATAATATGGAAAATTGCATTGTTAGTGCTCTCATATGTACAACTCTTGCCAGATTTTTATAAAACTTATATCATAGGTTTTTATCAGCAATGTCTCAGATGAGTTCGAAAATCAGTGTTGATCAATAATTTTTTAAAGAGTTATGCCCCTTTGAAATATTAATTATTTGGAATATTGCAATGTAAGTGCTCTCATGTTTACAATTCTTGCCAGATTTTTATAAAACTTATATCATAGGTTTATAACAGCAATGTCTCGGAAATGTTTGAAAATCAGTGCTGATCAATTATTTTGAAAAGAGTTATGCCCTTAGAAATATTAATTATATGGAAATTTGCATTGTAAGCCCTCTCACATGTACAATTTTTGCCAGATTTTTATCAAATTCATATCAAAGGTTAATGTCAGCAATGTCACAGAAAATTTCGAAATTAATTGCCAATCCAATATTTCTAATGAGTTATGCTCCTTGGAAATAATAAATATATCAGAAATTGCTCTTTTAGTCTTCAACTCTCTAAGATAATTTTAAAAAGTTTTAGAAAACCAATTTTTTTTAGTTATTGACCTTGAACAGATAAAATATGTGCAATGTGGGGGACATTGGAACTCTGTTCTTTTATTCATATGATCATAGTAATAATATCCCTCTCCTGTCTTTAAATTTCATCTAATATAACAAAGTAATGACATCTTCTAAAAGAAACAAGTTCTAATGAAAAGTTAATTTTCGTTTTATAATGTCATATGTCATTTGAAATTTGATTTTTGTGTAATATCTTTAGGAAGACATATTAGTTGCTAGTTTTACTGAGGGAAGCAATTACAAGTCTGATTGTTCAAATAATGAATGTGATTTTAAAAGTAATAAATCTGCAGAAATCTAATAAAATCATCGACTTACTAGAGAAAATAGATTTCCAAGCTAACTATAAAACTTCATAATGGAAACAAACATTGATTGTTTTGTCATTTGTTAGCAGTGTAGAATTTGTTAAATTTCAAGTCCTAATTCTGCTAAATTTGCTTTTCCTCAAGTCATGGTCCAGAAGAGTTGGTATTTTCAATAGATATTTTTTGTTGGTTTAATAAAGATTTGTCTCATTTTATTGCATTGATAGAAAAGTTAAGTATCTTTTAATATTTGTTGTTTTGTTTTCAAGTCCTAATTCTGCTAAATTTGCTTTTCCTCAGGTCATGGTCCAGAAGAGGTGGTATTTTCAATGGATATTTTTTGTTGGTTTAAAAAAGATTTGTCTCATTTTATTGCATTGAAGTATCTTTTAATATTTGTTGTTTTGAAGCTGCAATATTGGCAATCTAATTTAAATATATATCCTGTGTTCATGATTTGGTAACAAGGATCTGACAAGGCTCTGTTCTACTTTCTGTTTTAAAGACCTTTCTGGATCCTCTGGTTGTGTGGTAATGTCAACAAATTAAGGTAGGAATTTCTATGGCTGATGTAATAGTTACCAAAACAGAAAGTAGAACTGGGTGTTGTCAGATCCTTGTAAGCAAAGTGGACACATGACCTGTAATTTAATCAGATATCAATATTGGAAATGACTTTCAAACTAAAAGTAAAAAATTGCTATTTCTGGGGAAATAAATCGACAGTTTATTTGGATATAGCATGCATTGTCCTACTTACAGGGGCTTCTCAACAAAAGAAAGGGTATCAATTTTGCCCTTTGTGAACGGCCTTTGGCTGTTGTCTGCTCTTTGGTTGGGTTGTTGTCTCTTTGACATATTCCCCATTTCCGTTCTTAATTTTATTTCTATGAAGCAACATTCCAGCAGCACCTGCATATTGAGTATATATCTCAGTTGATACCATATTCGAGCTGCAGACTAGGGCTTGTGTTTCCTATCATGGTTTCTGTGCCCGTAGGTGAGCTAGAACTGCTTACCCTTTTGGAGCACCTGATTTCCCTTAAACTCTTGGTGGATTTCACTTTTCTCAATCTTGGTTTTCTGTGTAGAATTGTTTTAACTGTTATTTATCAGTTTGTGTTGGTTTTTTCAGGGTATTGTCTACTTGTGGGTTTTTATTGTTTGCTTTGATCTTCTCTCCCTTGTTCTAGCAATACACTCTTTTTTTTTTTTTAGAAATTATGGTTATATGATGTTAATACATGTATTCCTCATCATAGATAATAGATAATTGATAAAAGATGTGTGGTCAGTAAGACAGCACACCAATGACATTAACACGGAGACACATCTAGCCATCAACACATGGTTATCAACAATAATCAAGTGTCTTCACAATGACATAAACACGGAAACACATCTAGCCATCAACACATGGTTATCAACAATAATCAAGTGTCTTCACAATGACATAAACATGGAAACACATCTAGCCATCAACACATGGTTATCAACAATAATCAAGTGTCTTCACAATGACATTAACACGGAAACACATCTAGCCGTCAACACATGGTTATCAACATTAATCAAGTGTCTTCACAATATTTCAGGCCAGAGTCTTAAATGGTCTACCATTAAAAAATAATGCAAACCACATGCAAAAATGACTGCCAATCATGTAAGGCACATGGAAGCATTTTATGATATTATTTCACACTTACAAACTATGATGTTAAGTACAATTCCACACACAAAATTAGTCGACAACTTTCTTGTAAATAGTGTTAGGAATCAATATTTAAAAGCTTTTAAAAAAAATTCTACAATTTTTGGTCTCCAACAATGTGTTGAATGCCTGCCTCATGGTCTATTGCTGTGGTCTTTGTAGTTTGACATCTGTATGTTGTCTGTTATTACACAAGGGAAACAGCATGATTCAGGGGTTAGGGTTAACTGTATGATAACTGCATATTAATGGACAAAAATAATTCACAGGATAAATGTTTACTGTTAATGTATTAAAAAGCAACTTGTAAATAAAACTTTAATGGGAAGGTGAAACATCAAAACAAATTTTCTAACAAGGGAAATGATAATTTTATACATTTTTGGTATGATTGAAAATTCAATTGTAAACAATTAGTCATTCAGACATTCAGACATTGATAATTCTGTTAGATTCCCGCGGGTAAGCTTTACCATATTTATGTAATATTATTTGTAGTCTAAAAACAATTTTCGGAATTCACTGAAATAAGATGTATTTAGGCTTTACATAGAAAACAAACATTAAAAAACAAATAAACCAATGAAAAAAAAATGATTGAATAAGAAATAGACAAACAATTAGACAAATGAACACATTAGTGGAATTTTTAGGTGACATTGTAAACACAATCAATCATCCTAACTCTTACTTTCTTGTATAACTTTCAATTTCTCCTACCAATTACATTTAACTGTTTCTTTAGAAGAAAAAAATACTATGAAAGATATTGAATTAGAAGATGAGATTGAAGGCTTGTCTAGGTATTGATTTAAGCTCCGGCTCACATTGTAACATACTTTTATTGTAGTTTTGGGAATCATTTTAGACTGTTACAGTGCTGAAAATTACTTATTTTATTTCAGAGGAATCAAAGATTAAAAGGAATGGAAAAGTTTGACCAAGTAAGAAAAGGTAAGAAAGTTATTAGGTTATTGTCAATTACAAGTATACAAATTATCAGTTTTATTAAAGGACAAAGGGGATTTACTTAGACATAGATGACAATTATCAATGTTACTAAGATTTAAGGAATGATCGAAATTAGATTTCTGTTTTACAGACAAAATGGTGCTGAAAACTTAACATATAGAGGAAAATTAGGAAATTGGGAAATATAACAGCAATTATGAAGTTCTAGAAGCTGTGATTTTTGGGACAGTTGATTCGGCTCTATGCTGTTACAGCAAACGTGTCAAAACTAATCCAGGAAGGCTTGGATAAGAATGATTGTCCTTAATGCAGCATGTAAACACTTGTTTTCAGAGCTAGAAATTGTTTAACAGATATATCTTAAACAGTTTTTTATATATTCAAAATGGTACCAATAAAAGGGTAATTGTTACAGATTTATATGTTTATTTGGAAATATTTTTTGTTGTGAAGTGTTTTCATTTTCTGTTAATATAAACACAAGTATAATTTTTGACTGGAATTTCCTGTATATTTCAACAAAATTATATTGTACATTTTTTTTTGTAAACATGTTAACATCAGTAGAAAACAAAAACAACAAGGCAAAATTATGACAATAAAAAAATCAACTTTGGACAATTCTGTGTCTTTCAACAAAATCCAATCATAAATGTCTTTTTAAAAAAAAAAAAGTGTTTTATGAAATAAATAGCAAAAAAATTAATTGGAAAGCGCTGTAAGTCAATGAAAGTTGGTAGGCTGTTGTATTACAATTTACACATCTTTATTTCCCTAGCCCCTTTAGTAATGGTCCATTGACTTTTATTTTTTTTTTGTAATTATTTTGTTTTTTAGAATGAAACATGTGAAGTTACATAATACAGTAAATATACAAGACATAAATTATAAAAATTAACACTTGTAAGATTGATCAAGTTATTAGGATATAAGAAATTATATTACAGTTTATCACGTAATTAAAAGCTGACTTTCATAGTTTACATGTTAAAGTGTTGTCATTTGCATTACACCATGAAAATTACACACAGATGTGACATATATCTCTTGTCAACAGTTTTTTTACAGATTTTTCTAAGATCTATTCAGGAATTTTTTTTAAATCTTGAAAATTTGGTATGATATTTAACTGCAAAATGTTGAGAGGAATATGATTAGTTACTGTTGAAACAGTTGATTATCAGAACTTTAAAAAGAATTGAGATAAAAATAAGGAAATTAAGATAAAAAAGGAATGGCTGTATATACCTTGCATATGTGTATAGCTTTAAGCAAGACATGGGTTTGAAATCAAATGTCTAAATCAACTATCTTAAATGATCTTCAGGAACATGTAAACCTTAGGTCATTTTCCTTAATCTTAGCATCTTTCAATAGACAAAAAATATGATTAGAAGTATAAGGTAGGTCTTTAGGTCAGTCTCAATTAAACTCAGTTTTGTTAGTTTTACTTCTTATTTTTTAGTTTAAGTTTAATTTTCTGGAAACAGAATTTCTTACTGCAATACACATGTCCTTTACTTAATTACACTGGTATCTCACAGGTACCTGAAAAAATCAAGTATTTCATGGCCACAATGCTTTTTATTTTCAGTAGATTAAATTGAAAACAGATACCTCCATTTCTTGAAAAGTTATTTAAAGAAATGAACATAAAGTGATATGTAGAATTTAAAGGACAAAATGATATGGATTCAATTCACATATAATAATAACCCTTGAAGTAATGAATATCTTCATAAATTGATGGAGGAAAACAGCAGTCCTTCTCCATTGAAACCATAGCTTAAAAATGATGTTTAAAATTTTCTTTTCTGAATTTTAAAATAAAACAAAGGACAGCTAACAGTGGACATAAACAAGTTTTCAATCTTAGAGATTGTAAAATGTCAGTTATGTGGATGAAACAAATTTTATTTTAATAACAGCTTTATTTACATAATTTTTTACACATTTTACAACTGTGCCTACTGTGAATTTTAGCTTTAGGTGATATTTATAGATGTTAGATAAGATCAGCAAATATTACAAACTCTTGTCAACCTGTCTAAAGATCCAGTTTTGGTGGTTTAGGAAAAAAACGTTTGTTCATGTATATCTTGGTTTCATGCTCTACACTGAAAATCCAATGTTGACACTCAACTGTATATTGGAGTTTAATCATAGTTATGTGCACATTAAACATATAAAGCTGCCAATCCTTTGAGTTCCATCTTGACAACATTTCAGATGAGAGTTTATAATTAAATGTTGCAGAAATTATTCTGTAAATCATTTGCATTCTTTATATTAATTAAAGTATGCCTTTCAGGAAAGAAAAAAAAATGCTGAATAGATTGGATGCCCATAATAGATTCAAGCTTGAATTGCAAAAATTCAGTTAAGAATTTGACAGAAATGAGAATTTTTTGTGAAATGTAGGTGGAAGATTGTGAGAGATTTATAGCTTGGACTGGTTTGACATGTGTTTTATATGACCTGATATGTACAGAGGATAATGCCATTTGGAATTGATCTAATTTTCTATGTTCACTGTGACAAAATACAAATTCAATTTTCCAGTCCAGGAAATTTTCTATTAATTTAATCAGAATTACTTCACAACATTAGAACATTATAGAGTCTTTTTGTATATACATGTAGGGATCAGAGAAATATTAAGTTGAAAAGCATATTGACTGAATTGGCAAGGATTACCATTTGATCCATAATTTTAGTGTTGTTTATGTCTCTGTTTTAAACATCTATGTACAGCTTTTAAATTACAAATAAATAAGGTAATATGATCTGTTCCTGACAGTAAAAGCTTCTGTAATGAGCATATTCTCTGTTCTTAACAAATTTAATTTACTTAAATCCCTACATAACATAGACTGTAAGGAAATCCAGCTGATTGTCACGACAAGTAATTGAGAAGCCTTTCACAAAAAGTAATTGGTAAAACATATAATGGTAGAGATCTAAATAATAGCTTAACCTTTCAACTAGCAGGATACACAAGGACTATTAAATAAACATGGTGATCAAGGATTTTTTATTGTGTCTGGCCTCTAACAGGATATTTTTGTTTTGACTGACCCAATTTAGATTTAGAACATGTCTGTCATTTGTATAGATACGTGTTTATTTTTGAAGGCTGCATGTTGACCTATTAGATCAATTTAGGGTTATAATAATACAGCTGCTATGAAGTAGAGGGTAGGGTGGTATACTGCTTGTCTTACTCTTGTCTGTCCGTCTTTTGTGTCTGTTGGCCCATGAAATTTCCGTTGCATTTTTCACAGGAACAAGAAACGAACTTACTTAAATTTGGTATTTCTCAGACTACACGTGAACATGAAATATTGTGTGATGCATTTTTACATTTATCACTCATCAAATTCCTGTTTATAGAATACTTATATATATTCTTACAAATCATGACCATGTATAAAATTTTACACATCATGACCATGTAAAAAATTTTCATCACATTATTCTCGGGAAATACTAATTAGAGCTTCCTGAAATTTGGTATTAACATGCATGTTATCATGCCGGACCGTGTGATGCATTTTCACATCAATTGATCTTCATCTTCCTGTTTACCAAATACTTATCATTAGGGAGCAGAAGCTCACACCTTAACTTGTATATGTCTGAGTTGCTGTCTCTTTGAGGAATCCTGTTATTCAAGCAAAAGTTAAAACTAAATATTTTATCTTTCTGTATAACCTAAAGGTTAGACTAATAAATTTCATGTGTTGCTTTTGTTTCTTCAACATAGTTTTAATCTTATAAATGCTGTATTTTCCATACTAAGTTATAAATGTGCCACTCATTTTAATAACACCAAACTTTAAGTACCATAATACTGGTATATCAAATGATATTTCATCAGCTTCTGGACAAAGTATGAGATTTATAGGAAATCTATTGGATAAAGTTGTGACTTAAACAATAGAAGTGTAGTCTACAAGTCTGATCAGTACTTCAATAAATCATTTCACTTTTATTAAGGATTAAATTAATGGCAGTATAAACAAAATGTCCAAAGCAAGATAGAGTGAAATAAATTGTCTCAATTTGTTAAATAAAAATCATTGTCTATTGATTGGAATAAAAAGCATACTTGCTCTTAATGAAACATAGCTATGAATGAAAGGAGATGTAATGTAGATGTCAACGAGACAGCAACCACGCATTACCAATATACAAAATTAGACATCTAACCCTCATAACTTTTTCCAGTGTAATTTCCTAAGCTATATTCTGACAGTTTTGAATTGATTTTTATGCGCCCGCAACTAAAAGTTGGGGGCTTATTGTTTTACCCCTGTCCGTCCGTCCCATTATGGGTATATAGTTATTCCATATAACTCCTCCTACAGTTTGAATGATAGGAAGTTTTCACTTTGCTGGCTGTTTGTACATATATTGAAGGTGTGCATGTGGTCAGGGTTTTGATTTTTATTAATATTTGCTCTTTTGGGAGATAGTTGAACTTTGTCATTTTTGGAGTATAAGAGGTGCATAACCTTATAGTTATTCATCATAACTCCTCCTACAGTTTGAATGATAGGAAGTTTTCACTTTGCTGGCTGTTTGTACATATATTGAAGGTGTGCATGTGGTCAGGATTTTGATTTTTATTAATATTTGCTCTTTTGGGAGATAGATGAACTTTGTCTTTTTTGTCGAAAAGCGAGACATAGCGATCCTACATTCCGTGGTCGTTGTCGTACGGCGTCCGCGGCTGTGTCCACAACTATTCACTCTTTTTTTGAAATTTTAATAACTTTCTTAAACTATCCTGCATTTCAACCAAACTTGGACAGAAGCTTGTTTATGATCATAAGATAGTACTGTAAATTCAGAAATTATTGCGTGCATTTATTATTGCGATTTTGTCATTTTAGACTAAAATGTGATTTTAATTTTTGCGATATTGAGAAAAATTCTGCCTAATTCATATAAAAAATTTCAAATTGCGAGTTTAAATT